CAAATGTTTTGCTCCGTTTCATCTTGGTTTCCTTACATTAAATATTTAAGCAAAGTCGAACGTATTTACTTATTACCAAACTTAAATGTACTTACTTGCTCTTCTCGGCGGTTTATCTCTTAACAATTTCACGTTTATTAAGAAAATTTGTTGCTTGAAAAATTTGGTTGTATTTTTTTTTTAATTCAAATTTGAAAAAAACACATTTTCAAATGGGTTAACATTCATTTCAATTTGACATTATAGCCTGTTTCTTATGAGAGCAATGTCAAAATCAATCACACTTTGTTGAATACATTTTGGGCGCAGCCTACTTATTACCACAAAAGTGTATCTTGGTAACCGATTTATCATTTTCTACCAAACTCGGTGCACTTAATAACCTTGGTACGGGAAAGCAATTCGTTAAAAATTATTCAAATCGGACTGTAACTACACCCGCTTCCCGTATAACGGTAAATTTCGGACATACGAAAACTCAGATTTTTTAATAACTCAGGACGCTCATTTACTCCAGGTTAATACTTACAACAATCTCTTAACAATAAATAAGACTTATAGACTTTTAGGTAGTTTAGCGAAAATTGGAAGGACGATATTTGATATCTGTGCCGGGTATATAAAATTTGGTTTCGCCCGAACTTATTTACTTGTTTTACCTAATTTGGGAAACTGAAGAGGAATATCATCTCCTTTATTTTTCCAAAAATAAACGTAACTGAGAAAAAACATAGGAAACATGTTTTTTGATCGAATGCGTTTATTATGGTTAAATTAGGGTCGAACACTGGAAATCTGACGACACATCAAAAACTTTAACGCTAATATCTCAGAAAGCAGTTTAAACAGAAGTGCCCTTATTGCATCCACCTCCTCAATTATTTGAGATAAAACAAAAACAAATTGATTTCCTTGTGTATTCATCATTTCATTATAATAATAATAATAATAATAGACTGACGCTTACAGATATTTAAGTGCTTGGCCGAGCTTTTCCTGCGATTTGTGGCGTGCGCCTTGATATTGTCACACACTTACAGTTTTATGCCGACTTCGAACGCCGATTGTGTTTTTATGAGAAGCTATTTTCCATGGCAGAAATACACTCGGATATTTGCTATTGTCTGCTGAGAGGCGACCGCTGTTAAGGAAAAGTCTTTTTTCCACATTGCGATGTTGCTTTAACCAGGCTTTAAGAGTGGAAGCGCGCACTACTTACCACTACACCACAGCGGCCGCCATAAAGAGTTGAATATTTTTTAAACAGACTTTTAATAAAAAGCAAAACCTTTGTTTGCTAATTTTTACAAGCGTAAGTTATTTTATTCTGGGGCTGTGAGAAAATTACTTTAGCATTCATAAGTTGTGGTCACAACCTAGGAGGGTTTTACCATGTATGTATGTCTGTACATACCTCAGACCTTCCTCTGTTAGCCCATCGATCAGCACCAGATGCTGACGAGATGACATGATAAGATTAGTAGCCTCATTGTTCTTTGGAATCCACCTTATGGGCGATAGCGCCGGCGTTGCCAGACACGCGGGCGTCGCCGCCGCCGCCGCCGCTGAATCTTTTTGAAGTTGACCACGCCGCCCCCGCAAAGCCCGTCGGGGCAACCTCTAGTTCATAGAATTATACAAAAAAGAAGGTTGTTCCCGTGTCACTTTTTCCCCGCCATATTAACAACCTGACAATTAAATATTTTTACCCAAAGAAACAACGACATTGTCGAAATATACTAGAATTGGATACTACTCTCTTCTCTGAAAGTCATGAGGCCTATGGGCCCCAAAGTAAATTCCGTTTTCAAGTTACTTGAAAGACATGGACAAAACCAATATCGAAATGTGTAATTTCAGTGTCTCAATTATATCAGAAACAATCGTATCCGATATAGAAAACTGTAATCCTGGCTAGCTACATTGTATAATAATCAGATGACATAACACTAAAAAATTTTAAAATATGGTCACTAAAATTTTATTAATGTAAAAATAAAGATTTTGGCAAGTAGCTATAGAATATAATGTAAAATTTAAACGTTTTGAAGATAAGATATTAATTATTTTTAAAAGGGAAATGTTGATACAAATTTTTATTTCTACTCGGAAATTTAGGATATAAAATCCCCTCCACCAAAAAAAATAAATAATAAATCTCCTTTTTATACCCGAGCGCACTTGTGCACAACATAACTTTGTTCACATAACGGTTGTTTGTAACAGGCAAAACGAATCGAGAAAGATATAGACAAATGTATACATAAATGATCAGAATGAAAAGAGAAATCGACTAAGCGGTGACGACTGTCTGTCCATCCGTCCGTCTATGCACTTCTTTCGAGCGTAGGAAAAAAAAAATTTCCATCGATAACTTAAATTTGTGACACACAATGGCTAGAGGCGTCGCCTGAGTGCATTCTTTCATATATTTATGTGTGTGCCAGTTTTACCGTTATATATTTTTTATCTACTCGTTTATTCCATGAGGTATTCGTGCTTTATTTAAATTTAAATTACTTTACCGTTTTAAAAATCTGAAAATTCACTGCTGGAAATTTTTGTATTCTCTTTTTGTATTCGCGTTCTCGTTTTTGCGTTTATAAGTTTTGAAAAAAGGTTTTGAACGAACCATTATATCACATTCCTAGGCAAGTTTTGAAAGAATATTTTCGATACTAAATTTTATTAAAACAAAATGTTGAAATCAGCTTCATATAGAACCAGTGTCATCGTTAATTAAGAAAGAGATGTTCTTAAAAAAAAGCTTTACGAAATTTTGTTGATTTTGTTTATGTTGCGCAAAGACTAAACCTTGGATTTATACGGGTTTTGTTAAGTGTAAACTGCATTTTTATAAACAAATAATTAAAATTATATAATTTTAAGATAAATGGCCAATCTAGTTAACATGTATAAAGTTTTGATAAGCACTTGAAATGTCAAATTTTAGTACTGAATTCAAAGAAGATGTCCCTTTTATCCATTCATAATAGTTTAAAAAATTTGTTTGTTAAGAAGTGTATCTTAAAATATCTGCCTTGACATTTATGTTAAAAGTGTAAAATATGTAAATGTACCTACATAAACTTTCCCGTGAATACCATCAAAGCATTGGTGTTGAAGGGAATCTATGTATGCATGTATGCATATGAGCAAATTAAAAAGTCGATACAATTTACAGTCAAAAAGTACAGTTTTTGTATAGATTATAGATTATTTCCCAACACTGTGGGGAACTAAGCAAAATGGCCTAGTGTATTTCGCAAAAATTCACCAACCGATAATTTTATATATTCATTAAAAGATAATTTGTCATCAGTCTGAAATAAAAAAATTATAAATCGGAAGGGTAAAATAGTATTGTGTTATTAATTCAAAAATAAAAATTTTCATTTCAATGACGAAGGGGGGATCTATCCCCCCAAATCCCTCGCCCACCCTGGCTACGCCACTTTTTCGACATAACATCCGTGTCATAAGTTCCACGGAAGATTTTTAGGCCATGGAAGTGAATTCAGACAATATTTCCGCAGATATTATTCATGGATGATATGTAAGAATTAATTTCAGTGATAAATTTGTATTAAATGAGCCGCTCTCTGCACTAATTTATTAATTCCACTTTTTAAAAAATCCTGAATTTATGTGTGTTTTCTTTTTGGAAAATATTGAATGAACTTTTGGTCTTCACTCCGGCTTTAGGAAGCTATAATATAGGAAAACGTTGTCCTATTGAGGGGAATTTCTTCTATTTTCGTTTATAATCTCTGAAGAGGATTATAAGGCCTCGAAGTTATTGTTAGATGAGAAAACTTCTTTATAAAACGAAGGAGGCGAATTCGACATTGAAACTGAGGATGACTTGGATGATGACTTGATCGAATTTTCCAAAGCAAATTCGAACGCAAACATTTTTGGCGGTTCTCACAAAGTTCCCAATTCCGGAAGTCTCGAAATCTGTATCAATTATAAGCCCTGTATGCAGCTCTCAAGAAAACGGTCAAGAAAAAATTGCCATTATTTCGCGTGTGTGTCCAAGGAATTTTGACATTTTTGATACTTCACAGTCTGTTGCCTCACTCTATCCTCAAGAAATAATGGAACGGGCATATATTTCTGTTGCAAACCCGGGTTGCCTTGTGCTCTTTTTTCACAAAAAACTTTAGAAAACCGTAGTAGAAAGCGTAGTAAATTCCTTAAAAACTGCGTACTGCCTTAAGGAAATTTGACTCAAGAAAATTTCTTAGCCATTTCTTGTGTGTCATTTTATATGGAGTTTTTGCTTTTCTTGAGAGCTGCATACAGGCCTATAAAATAAATCCATGCGAAATTGTATTTACTTTGTGCGGTCATGTAATTTTATGTGAATTATGTGACAATTCTTCAAATTTTTAAAATTTCCATTAATGTCAAAAGATGAGATAATGAGATTTTAATCTATATTCAATATACATATAAACATAGGTGAAATCATTTAAATTAAAACCATAAATAAATCGTGATTGAACTTTGTACCCAAATAATAATAATTTGATCGCTCTGCTCTAAAACTGGGTGGCGATCAATTTGCAATTTTGTAGCCTACTGACTTTTAGTACAATAAGATGCAAGTTTGAAGTTTCTACAAGTTACCGTTAATTTTAGAGGCTTTTTGTAAACGGTCTTGCGTATAGGAGAAAGTGGACAGATAAAAAATGCCAAAAATCAAAGGTAATTTGTAACATTTGCACTTTGTTCTACTAAAATTCAGTAGGCTACAAAATTGTATACCCAAAATGTTTCCAAAAAATTTGATAAAAAAGTTGGAAATTTTTCCTGAAAATTATTGGAAACTTTATCGAATTTTCCTAGTTGTCGTACAAAGTTTGGAATTTTGGTTTTCATATTTTTTTGTACTAGATATGAACCAAATTTGCATAAAAAGTAACAAAAATTATTTAAAATGAAAGACTTTGGGAATATTAACAGAATACATTTTGTTTTTGAGAGGGGCCATTTTTACTGGCAGTAACTTTATGTACACATATATCACAATCGGATTGCAAATCTTTTAGAGTTTTGCTGTAGCTTCCACCTTTATGTTGACGTTTAGACCTCGCGGCAAATTCAGCATGCCAGAACTCTTGCCTCACTTGTATCATCCTCACATTCTGCAGCACATTGTCAAAGCATACATGCAAATGTATGTATACATATACACACCACTTTTCGTTACATATGGAATGTGCTTATGCATACAATAAAAAGCATACTCGTATGTAGTGTTGCTATTCAACTCATTACAAACCCGGGAATGCATACGCAAAATATGGAACAGGCGCGATCACAACCACAAACCGGCGATTAATCTTGGGATATTGCGCTCCTAAGTCATTGATATTTCATAACAATCGTAGATCTCATTCTTTATCACTGGTATACAATAGTTATAGGAATTTTAAAAATAATATAAATAACTGACACCATTTTTAGCATTTTAAATATCTCAACTCTTTGGCGTTATACGTATTCATTTTTTAGGTATGTATATTTTTGTATATATTTATTTATAGAAAACTTTTTAAGTTTATTTTGTATGCAAATATTTGATTTTGGTCTCACTTACAGGCATCATTTTTACAATAAAAATACTAAATATTTATCAAAATTCTGATATGATTAATTTACACAGCTTCAAAGTATTTTGAAGATAGATAATCATTTTAGCCACTAAACTGATTTTCACACTGCTTTTAATAACTTTCACTCGTATTAATCACAAACGGGGCGCAATAAGTATAAGGAAAATTTCGCGAATCAAAATATAACAGTTAAGTTTTATGTTATAAAGCAAAGGTTCTTTCAAAATATCGTTATCTTATATTCGGTGGTAATCAAGCATTAGTCGTTGCAAGTTCGAAAACAACCGAAACGATAGCATATCCTAAACAAATCTTTTTGCAATAATCACGAATACCACAACCATTTTATAATTAAAAAATAATAATTATGTCCGTGTTGAATATTCACACAACTAACAATACTAAATAGAAATCATAAAAAAACAAAATCATCCAAAAGAAACACAAGTGAAAAGTATAGGTGGATAAAAACACAAACACTTCAACAATAGCAAAAGACGAAATAAAGCAAACATGAAAATATAAAAGCACATTGGAAAGGAGAATTTCATTACTTCAACCATCGTTTCATTATTAAAAGAAAAATATTTGTATGCTTATAAGATTCACCTTTAGCATTACAGAGAGCTACTTCCCAGCAAAAAACACGATTACCACAGAAACGAAAGTGGAAACGAGCTAGGCGATGGGAATCGCTTACCCTTTCGCTTCAAGAAGGCCTTATTTTAACATGGGCATGTCATTGGCGGTAAGCCCTTACCCGCAGCATTACCTTAAAACGAAGGGAGAACGCATGGATAAACAGAATCCAGAGAAGCGAACAAAGAATGCCTTACAGAGAAACTAATGTAGAATGCCTATATAAGTGCATACTTAGTTATATTAAATTGAAATCAGAAAATGTCTTAAAAGATTAAAATTGAATTTTTATAAATCAGTTCAGTTGTATTTTCTTAAAAATCGGTATGTACATACATGCATATTTAATAAAGCTTAAAATCGTACTTCCTCACTCTTGTACTTCACTTCATTGACTGACTTCAACTTCGCTGCAAATTGAACAAAGCAAAACATGATTTTTATGCGAGACAAAGTTCCACAGAAAGTAACGGTAGAAAAAGAATTTTTGGATATTCATTCTATCTTTCAGCTCACTACGATGCAGCATTCTACTTTGCATTCCCCGAAATGAAGCAAAGAAGGGAAATAAAAAAAAATATTGTAGGACATTCTACTTTACATTCCCTGAAATGAAGCAAAGAAGCGAAACAAATATAATATTGTAGGACATTCTACTTTGCATTCCCGGAAATGAAGCAAAGAAGCGAATTAAAAAATAAATATTATAGGACATACTACTTTGCATTCCCCGAAATGAAACAAAGAAGCGAAATAAATAAAATATTGTAGGACATTCTACTTTGCATTACCGGCAATGCCTAAAAGAAGCGAAAAAATTCTAAGGCTTTACAACGCTATGCCTTCTAGAACACGTTACCACTAAAAGCGATTATCGATTTTTTGCTGGGTTGCGTCGAGTGTGTAAATAAAATATAACGGTGGCGCACGGCCGAGCGAATAAAGCGACGCCGCAAATATATTGTATGCACCCAACCAGCAAAGAATTTTTCAAATTGTCTTCATTTTTCGCATCAGGAACAAATCCGAAAATGGGCCCATTTCGTATTTGAAAAGCGTTTGAAAATAATGGTTTGAGTTGGAGAAATATGTTAATATTTAACAAAGATCCTAGGTTAAATTTCTATCTGACGCAAGTTGTTAAAATTATGTACTTAAAAATATTTTCATATATTCATATATTCATACGGAAATAATTGGCAAAGCCAAGAAAGCTACGAAAAAGCAGCTTTGAAATTCAGAAGGAAAGCGCATTTCAAGAAAGCATTTTATCCGAAAAGCAGCAGAAGCGTAACCGTTTCCCAAGCTTTTTCTCTTTCTGGACACATAAACATGCCCAAGACTTCTAGAAATATAATCAGTAAACGTATGAAACATCCGCAATTCTGCCATTTACGTATATGTATTTGGCTGACTGGGTGCATACATTCATATGTATGAATGTAGCTCTCGGTCAGATGCGCAGCCGGCCATCCGAAATCTCAACATCGCACAGTAGGCACAAGATCCAATTTAGGGGAATTAAATTAAAAAGTCGTAAACTAAGAGCGTTACAAAAGAAAATTCGGCGATGGAATTAAATCAAGAGTACTACATAAATTTTCGAAGTTGTAGATTTCTAAATAATTTTTGTTGTTTTTACGCCACTTTTTAACACATTCGCACCAAGAACGCAGGTATCTAACTACTTATCTTAAGATGCCTAAATTTTTCAATCTCATAGCGTTTGGCTACTTATAAGACAAATTTAAAACTGACGAGGCTTCCCTAAAATAAAAAAAAAAAACATATATTAAAATGCCCCGTTCGCGAATATTCGGCCAAAAACATATGCGTGGAATGTTAGAAGAAATATACAAATATTTGGTTTACTTAATTTTTTCCAATAATAGGTATATCGTCACTAGACACGAATAAAGGCGCGCTAGTGTTTCGACGGCGAAAAAAGACGCGTAAAAAAAATTTTACGAAAAAAGGCGGTTAAGAAAAACTTCGGCGAAGAAAGACGCGTAATCATAGATTTATATTTGGTCAAAGACTGTCACTTCAGCATCACTCCTTAAATATCTTTGGGGAATTTACATTCTGTTACACCCGCAAACATAGTTGACTGCGAAAAAAAGTTTACGCGTCCTTCTTCGCCGTCAAATATTTTAACGCGTCTTTCTTCGCCGTCAACTATGTTATGAGTCTTTCTTCGCAGAAGTTTTCTTTAAGCGCCTTTTTTCGTGGTCAACTTTTGAGCTCGCGCCTTTGTTCGTGTCTAGTGACGATATAATGATATATTATTTAAACAAAACTATTCAGAGTGAAGATCAATACAACGGTTTTGATTGGACAGCTGAAAGTCTTAGACAAAGTTTAAATTAGAGGATGTGGCGAAAGAATTAGTGCATGAAATATGTGCTCCATTTGTAAAGTTTATTCGGTAATCGTTGTAAAAGCTTTTCCATCCATCATGGTTAAATGGAATTGATGGTAAACTCGTATTTGCAAATTAGCTGGTTCGATCCGGATATTTGAGCCTAACTATTTTCAATCTCTGCACGGACAACGTCAGCTGTTCCTTTCTGGCGCAAAATTTAATTGACCTTCAAAATACAGTTTAAGACACGAATGCTTCCAAATTATATTGGAACTCGACAACATTATAGTCTTGTCTGTAAATTAGATGTCCACTAATGCCGTCATAGCAGCAATTGCAGATTGCAGTTACTTTTCCATTTTAGGCATGAGTTACGTGTTTAACTGTACGGTCAACAAAAATTTAATTACCTTTTACAGATTTCATGACACGGCTATATAGCCGCAAATTTGTTCATTGTGGAAAAAGTGGTTCGTCTGACAACCGCCATAGATCCTACGACGTGGGACATATTGTAGGGTACCAGGTATTTATTAGAAGATTATTTTGGATATTTCATAATCGAACCGAATCAAACTTACAAAAATACCATAACTAGCCCGAATAAGACAAGTTGCACTCCAAAAGAAACGATTGCATGTTAAAAGAAAAAAGTCAAGTTTATGATAAACTTTTGGAACTATTTTTCAATGTCAAATATGCACGCACATATCACATACATTTATTTTATTGAACACTTACCTTTAACTATAAATAAACAAAACAAAATGAATTAATACCTTTTTTCAGCTAAAACAGATATTTTTTCAAAAAGGCGGGAAAATAGAATTTTGCATACGCTAAAAAAAATATATGCGAAGTTTGAAAGCTCACATCACAGAATAGAACAAAACAGTATTATGAATCGCTAAAGGTATTACGAATCAGAACTTTAAAATTGAATTATACAAGCCAATCTACTATTTCGCCCACTGTGCATCGGCCGCGACGGCAAAAGAATTCATACAATATGAACAATCAATCCAATGACGCCTTGACAAGCCCATCATTATAACATCAGCACTAGGAATGTTTATCCCGGGCTTTTTAAGAATCCCGGGATTTTCGGGATTTGCAATTTACACTGGGGGAAAATGAAAGAGAAGATTCTGTAGAGTTAAAACACATTACATTTTTTGGTGCGTAAGGGACGAATAGATATTGAAAATACTCTTTTATAATTTTATCCTTGAATTTACTTGATATTTTTCAATTCTTATTTTTGAATAAATTATATGTTAAGGACTAATTTATTAAAAAAATAAAAGAGATTAAGGGGACATTTTCAATTCCTATTCACCTTTTGAACCCAAAAAAAAATTATTTCATTTGGTACCCATACTTTTGTTTTACATTGCACTAAATTTTTTTTAAATAAATTTTGGAATTAACCATATTTTTGATATTATAACGAGCCTTAACCGTTTTGATTCTGAAATGCATCTAGATGCTTTTGGAATATTTCTGCATCAAAAATAAAAAAATGTCGCTTACATTATTTTGGCGGTTAGGGCTCGATAAAGTTTAAAAAAAAATCATGAGGTCAGAGAAAGGTCCATTTATATGCAGTTAACTATATGTAATATGAGGTAGAATTTTATAAAAATATGTAAATTTTGGATAAACAAAAGGAATATAGACAAAACTGGTCGAATTAAGGCGCTTCTTTTATTTCTGCCACTAGTATTATGAACTTCTTTCAACCAGAAAATAAATTTTTTTACTAAATTTTTTTTGCATCGAGCTTTTTTCGACATACCTTAAATTACTTTATCAGATATGTACACACTAAAGTATTATTAAATGCATATTATTTCAACATATATCGTGAATAACATACTAAAATAGTATGTACTGAAGTAGACAAAGCACAAAATAAATGTTCAGAAAAGTGGAAAACTTTTGCAGTTTTTCAAAGATGTTAATAAGTATATTTTAGAATTCTAAGAATTTTCTAGATTTTATACACAAGTACCATGAACATTAGAATTTCTCGACAATTTGTGATGTTTCACATCTTTACATTTTAGGATGGATTTCAGAATAATTAAAATCCTAAAATTTTTGGAAAATATAAAAATTTCTAAAATCTCAATAATTTTGTACATTTCAAAATATTTTCATTTTACCAAAATTTTTAAAATCTCCAAGATTTCGATAGTTTTTAAAATTTTGAAAATTATCATAAAAATAAGAAATCTCAAGAAATTTAATAATTTTTAGAGCTCGGATATTTATGCAAGTGATTATTTTTGTTTAACATCACAGAAAGTCCGCACCTAGGTAGAAACTCATTATAGGAAGAAGTGAGTTAATTTGGATCTATTATGTTTCGCATATTTTCACATATTTTGCATATTTGCATATTTTCTGAATATTTGCATATTTTTGTATATATTTTGCATATTTTTGATATATATATAATAAATAATAAATAAATTATTATAAGCCTGTCACTTTGATGGGGCAGCTCTTGTTAACTCCGCACGCGACATACTGACCTCCTTCTGCCTGAATAGTGATGACCAGCTACGCCAGCATAGAACAAATCTAATTTATTTGTGGTATGTAGGCAAGTGCAAGCGATTCTGTAAAAATCTTTTGCAAGTTCGCCAACTAAAGCTCAACACGTTCTTTAAGTACAATAAGTAGGATGCTATCCAGACCGGGCGATTTTAGACTGTCAAAAGACTCAATAGCATATCTTAGGGCATCTACATTAGCCACATTTCTGGAAACAAACCGGTTGTACCTTGACACTGTGGTTCTCGCATACCCTCCTT